GAGCTCAAACGTCTCCATCAATTCTTTACTGCATCACCAGGGGACTTGAAGAAAGAGATATAGAGCTGGGTGTCATCAGCATAATAATGACAGCCCAATAGCAATCGACAGGGGTTTTAAGCCTACAGTTGCACGGGGGGAGGGGACACCACAGGAAAAGACCCTATGAAAATGGGGACAACCTGGAAAGAGGACAATTAGAACATGGCATCGAAACTTCTGGTTTATGAAGCAGTGATGGTGGATGCTCTCCCTGAGCCGCGGGAGAGCGATTCGCACACCAGTGGCCTGGAGGGGTGCCACCTCAAGTGACACCCCCACGGAGACTTTGCGATAGGCTCCAGGCCAGGGGGCTCTTGAGGGGTGGCCTCTTCGATGGCGTAATGCCGGAGAATTGAGGATTCCCTCTGCCCTGATGGTCCAGCTGCTGTGTGGCCCTCAGGCACTAGCTGGTTTGACTGGGACAAGTGCCGGAGATCGAGCGGAATGGCGATTAATGAGAGAGGTCAGAGAATCTGACTGACAATGAACGTGAGTTCGAAATAAATCGGATTATTTTAAAAGCAAATCCCCCCCCTCCGCTGACAAAAGTGGGCGCAAAGAGGGACACCTCTTTTGTGATTGAACTGATAAGTGATTCGAAGGGGGAGAGGGGAGGAAATACGAGAGTGTTTTGAGAGACTTACTTGATTTTCGTCATTATGCGGTGAGTTTTTCAAGTCATGAAGAAGCGGTAGAAATTATAAACAAAAATATGGAGAAAATGGCAGCCCAGCAGAGAAAGCCGAAATTGAAACTGCCAGGCAGTCAGAGCCCAAAACCAGAAGAGGGAGCAGACGTCATTAAACTGCTAGTGGACATGCTCAAGCCGGTGATGGAACAACTCGATGGTATTAACCAGCAATTGACCGTGATGAATAAGAACTTTGCATCTCAACAGCTCCAGCTGAATGAAATGGAGAAAAAGTGGAGCAGACAAATGAGAAAATTAAAGAGATAGACACCACAAGCAAGAAATTGAAGAAAAGAATGGGAGAAGTGGAAACGAAGCAGAATGTTCAAGAAAACCGTTTGCTGCAGTTACAGATGGAAAAAGCTAACATGATTCTCAGGTTCCAGGGAGTTCCTGGAGCAGAGTGGGAGGACCTGAGGAAGGTGCTTAGCGAGATTATCGCTCCAGTAATAGGCTTAACAGCAGATGAACTTGTAAAAGAAATGGAGCTAGCTTATAGGGCATACTCCAATTATATTTAAAAAAAAAATAGCCTGCCTGGAGAAATAGTGGTCAGATTCTCAGGAAGACAAACCAGAGATGCCATCTTAAAAGCGACTTCAGCAACTCCGCTGAAAATGGGGAATGTAATCATCAAAACTTTAAAAGACATTCCATTTGAAATTCGATAGAAGAGGAAAAACTACAAGGATTTAATTTCTTTCCTTCAAACTAATGGAATATTGTACAGAAGGGCGGTACCAGAGGGTGTCATCTTTAAGATCAATGATAAAAGAGAGAAGATAGACTCCACCTTCAAAGCCAAAGAGTTTTTGTGGCATCTGCTGGGAACAGAGGAAGAGACTAAGGAAGAAGAAACGAAATCTAGTGACTCTGCCACCTCTGGAACAGAAGAGGACTCTGCTGCAGAAAAGGGTGCAGGTCCCGCCAGAGTTGTATATGATTTTAGAGACAAAAAGCCGAAGTGAAGGCAGAAGGACTCGGAAAGTGGACTTTTGAAGCGAAGAACATGATCAGAAAGCTCTCTCATAACAATTAACATTTTAACACATTTGAAGCTGTGATAAACAAGAACTCTACAAGTATATTGTGATATTAACACTTTTAGTACTAACACCTATACTAACAGGTATAAGATCTCCTCCTCTTGGGGTTTTAGTATAGTGTGGTTATCTTTCCTTTATCCCTAGTTGTAGTCCCCTTCCCATTGTTTTCTTTGTAGTTCTGTAGTCTATTGCAAAATAAAAAATATCCCTTCGGGGGTTTAAAAAAAAAAGAAAAAAAGAACATGGCATCATGTGGAAGCTCCAAAAAACCCACTCAAGTTTGGAAGTCAAGGCAGAGAAATACCTCTGTGGAAGCACCTTAATATCTCTGTGTGGAAGCACCATTTACAATTGTTGGGAATGGCCTCTGTACTTACACTGCATACTTCTGAATATTGCATAGAAATGCCAGTCTCTACTTTCCCCCACTGCCACTGCTGACTGAATTCACTTGATGCATCTGGTTAAATGGGCTTTAGTTTCTAGGCTTAAACTTTTTAAAAATCTGCTAGTTTTTGGCATAAGGAAGGTTTTTGAACTAGATGACCCTGACGTTGCATCCAAGCCTAAAATAACCCACTACTACATTTCCACGAATCACCACCTTGTTTGCCGGTCAGCTACTGATGACTTGCAAGTTGTCCTGTCAGTTTAGTTACTCCTTGCCATTTCCACGTCCACCATGTTACCTGAACTCCTCTAAGGACGGTTCCGGGAGTCCAAATCGGCTATCACTTACAGCCGCAGACTTTTGCGTGAGTTCTAGTCCCGTGTATCCAGAGGTCAGATTGGTGTTGAACGCTCGCTACTTCCCAGGGAGGCAGACAACACTCTAGGTTTTATGAATAAATGTTGCCTTTACTACAGCAGTTCTCAGACATACGAAAACAGATACATACAAGATTCGCACAAGCTCCTTAGTTACAATAGAATAGAGAAACAATCAGCATGGAAAATAACAAATGTATCAAATAATGGGGATGACACTAAGGAAAGTCGGTCATACTTATCTGAGGTCCAGCTGAGAAGAAATCTCCTCTTAGGAAAAAGGGGCAGCTAAAGCATCAACTGGTAGACTCTAAAAACGCACAGGCTGGTCCGGCCAAGCCACGTGCGAGTTCCCTGGTCGCGACTCCGGGGAACTTGGTGAAAGCCACCTGAAGCACCTTAGTGCAAGGTAAGGGAGGGGTGGGTTAACCAGAGAAACAAAGCCGCGTTTCTCTTTTTAAAAGCTATGTTTTGGGCTTGGCTTAAGGCCATAAAACCCCCTAGGGTCCGTCCTCTCTACTATGGCTATAGGTCCACGGGTGGTGACGTCCTAATGAAGGGGAAGGGGCAATATGCAGATATGCTACCCTAACTTCAAAGCGCAGCCATGTGGTGAGGTGTGAACCTTCGTTTCCATTGGCAACCTTTGACTTGCAGAGATGTTTGGTCTGGAGGTCCATAAACGGTATTGTCTTTGTGATGCCAAAACCAGATAGCAGGGAGAGAGTTACGTGGTTTCCCACAGATCAGCAATGGTGGGGTACGCTGTTGTTTTCCAAGGGTCCAAGTCGGGTGTAATGGCGCTGGTCTCCTCTGTCCAGGGGCATTATGGGAAGAGTTCCAGGGAAGCACATGCTCTGTAGCAGGCAGCATAGGTCTTGCCCATCCATAGGCAAGCATGAGATGCAAAGCAAGCTATACAAACAGCAGTAATCCCTGGGTCCCCAATGCACAGATACACAGACATGAGACACACAGGCAGCATCAACACAATACAGAAATGCAAACACAAGCACCCATGGTAACAACCAGGACCAGCTAAGGGAAACTTATGCAAGAGAGAAAGGTGAAAAGATCCACTGAACACTGGGAGAAATAAGACAAAACAGAGAGGAGCAGATAAAGATGGGAAAGAGACAGCCAAGTAAATAGCTGAGAAAGAACTTCTTTCTTTGCTATTTTGTAATGCTTGGGTATTATACAGCTATGGTTTTGGGCAGGGCTCTTTTTGTAGAAAAAGCCCAGCAGGAACTCATTAGCATAATAGGCCACACCCAACAGCAAGAACTCATTTGCATATTGGGCCACACCCTGATAGCACCGCTTATTAGCCCATTAGGCCACACCACCATGTTACCAGAAGTGTGGTCATCCAGACACACCCACCTTTCCCTTCTTATTCTGCTTACCTTGTTTGTTGTCAAAACGGAGGGCTTTTTTGTAGCAGGACCTCCTTTGCATGTTAGGCCACACACCCCTAATGTAGCCAGTCCTAATGATTTTCTGCTGTTGGGTGTGGCCTATTATGCTAATAAGTCCCTGCTGGGCGTGGCCAACTCGGGAGCCAGCCTTCCTGTGCGTTCCTGCCCCAAAATAGCCCTGGTTTTGGGAATGGACCAACTTAGTTTCTGCTGCCAAACTGTAGGCCTAATAGCCCAGACTATCCCAAACTTGTCAGAGGTTGGAAGCAAGCAGGGCCAGTACTTAGGGACGAGACCCCCATAGAAGGCAGGGGCTGCTGTGCAGAGGCAGGTAACGGCAAACCACCTCTGCTCATCTCTTGCCTTGAAAACCCCCCTGCGGTGGAACTTCATGAGGTCGCTGTGAGTCGGCTGGGACTCCAGGACGCGCGTTCTTTCGGAGGACGTGCCAAGGGGCGTGGCTCCCCCTTACCTGTCCCCTGGAAGAGCAGCGCCGGGGCCAGCAGGGATTTACGGGGCTGCAGCGGCCATGAGCGCTTTAAAGCCGACCTACGCTAGCCAGCACATTCCCCCTGCACTCCCACACTTCTCGGGCTTAAAGACAGCCCCATACTTACTCGATTATCCAGGATTATTACATCGTCGGAAAGAAACACTCGGTTTTCTGTCCCGGTTTTAGCCAACGCACCCTGCTAGGCCTTCCCAAAACCCATCCTCCACTTTGCGTGGGGGACCCCGCAGCACCGACGGTCTCCCCCTCCTCTCCAGGGCCAGGCAGGCTGAGCCAGGGGGTGGTGGTTGAGCGCCCGCACGTGAGCCGGAGCGCGTGGCGAGGGCCTAAAATGGAAATGCCCGGAGCGCCCAGCCTTCCCGGGGCGGGGCCACTCCCGCACCCTTGCGAGTGGGGCAGAGGCAGGGGAGGGGCTTCAGCTGGCGAGCGGGCTGGGCGGGGCGGGGCTGCCTCCCGCCTGACCTCAGGTAGAGCAGGAAGGAAGAGGCGAGAGTCCAGCCAGCGCCTCGGGGAGGCTCGCAGGAGTCGCGCGGTCCGCCGGGCGCGGAGAGGGGCGGGCGGCCGGGGAAGTCGCTGGCCGGCGGAGCGAAGGGGGCGCTGCTCCCCAGATGCCCAGAGATGGCTGCGGACCGGGGGCTCGCGCGGGGGCTGCTCCTCCTGCACCTCCTGCTGGCTCTGCGGTGCCTCCCGGGGGCAGGTAAGAGGCCACCCCTGGGCAGATCCTGCGGTGGGGTCCGCGGGGGAAGAGGGACGCCGTCGCTGCCGATCGGGACTGGCTTGGGTCC